TGCACCAGGGTTCCTCCTGGCTCTGCACTCAGCAGTTACTCCTGGCGGTGCTCAAGGGACCACATGGGATGCTGGGAATCAAACCCGGGTTGGCCACGTGCAAGGCAAACGCCCTACCGGCTGTGCTATTGCTCCATCCCCACCCTCTAAATTTTTTTTAAATTAATTTTTTGATTTTATTTTTGGGCCATACCTGGAAGTGCTCAGGGGCCACTCCTGGTGGACTCAGGGGATCACGTGGGGTGCAGGAATCGAACCTGGGTCTGTGGCATGCAAGGCAAATGCCCTACTTGCTGTACTGTCACTCCACCCCACCACTTCCCTTTTCAAATGCATATTTCTCTGGGGGCTGGAGCGATTGTGCAGCAGGTCGGGAGCTTGCCTTGCCCATGACCAACCGGGGTTTGATCCCCAGCTGCCCGTATTGTTTTCCTGAGCCCCACCAGGAGTGATCTCTGAGCATAGCTGGGTGTAGTGCCCCTACCCACACAAATACCCACAAAGTAGTCAAATGCACATTTTTCTATTAGGTAGAAACAGGGTAAAAAAGGAGGAATTATTTCAAAACTGAGTCTTTGGATGTGTATTGTTACTGTTCTAATGGACAAAAAATTCAAGGCTTCTAAGACCATGGCCTAAGGTTACACAGCTTGAATAGGAGCTGTGCTAGAACGTGTCCCCAACTTGTTGCCCAGTGTTCCTTCTCCCATGTCAACAGGCTACTGTCCACCTGTCCAAGTATTGGGGAATAGATTTTTGTTGTTTTATGGTAAACATTATCTGAAAACTCATTTCATGAATGTCTGAGGTGGGTTTTTTGATTACGAACGTCTTCTAATTACGAGTCCTACTATGTTAGAATTCATTATCTCATTGACCTACCTCTACAACCCCTTACTCCCAAATACACTTTTCTTTAGGAAATAAGAACTTTCACAGCACCCACCACCTTGGGAGAGGTTAAATTATTTCCAATGATTGATAACGTTGATGACAGTTTGGAAAAGCCATGTGTCTTACATTCCTTCAGCGTGGCAGATTTTCAAAGATTAATTTGCTTTTTTGAAATTAGTCTAAAATCCTTTGAAACTAAAACTCTGAATAGTTAAATAAGAGCAGGAAACAATTTTTTTCTAATGCAATTAGAAATTGACTGAGTGACTACCTGCAAGTTCCTAAAACTGAACTTAAAAGCCACTTTCAGGAAGAAGTTCCAAACATGCATTGCTGTAGCACTGTTGGGATTCAGAAGTAGTCTACCAAATTGAAGAGTCCAGGGGCTGGAGCGATAGCACCACGGGTAAGGCGTTTGCCTTGCACGTGGCTGACCCGGGTTCTATTCCCAGCATCCCATATGGTCCCCCGAGCACTGCCAGGAGTAATTCCTGAGTGAAGAACCAGGAGTAACCCCTGTGCATCACTGGGTGTGACCCAAAAAGAAAAAAAAATTGAAGAGTCCAACGAAGAGTCCTAAGAGTCCAAGGTATAATTCTGTTATTCAATATTACTATATTTATTCAGCATATATTTACTGAATGCCTTACAATGCCAAGGTCTGGGGTTGCCAAGCTTAGGGATTTATGGGGTAAAAGTCTGTCCCTATTCTTGAAGCACACACACAAATCCTAGCACATGGAAAATATTTAAATAAGTGCAATGAAATTTTGTATAAACTGTGATAAAGTTATATACAGAAAAGGGAAGTCAGTTCTCTGGGTGGAGAAATCTTTTGAAAGCCTCTCTTAAAAGGCAGCTCTTATTTGATCACTGTATAATTGAAACCCAAGCACAAAAATTTGTAAGTCTACAACTGTACCTCATGGTGTCTCACTAATAAAAATTTTTTTAAAAAGGCAGCTCTTCAGTGGAGGCTTTAAAAAGATGAGTTAGGGGCTTTCAGAGCACTTGGGCTTATCAGACAGCAAGAACACAAGCAGAGGTATTGATATGAGAAATTTAGAAAGTACCACGACTGGATGTGTTTTATTTACTAAATATTATCTTGTTAATTTATTTAGAAATGGTGTTTGGACCACACCTGGCAGTGCTTGGGGGCAACTCCTGGCTCTGTGCTTGGGAATCTCTCCCAGTGGAACTCAGGATTATATATTTTTGAGTTCTCTCTCTGGCTCCTGTTTATTTTATTCATTTATTTATTTTTAGTTTTGGGTCATACCCAGCGATGTTCAGGACTTTCTTCTGGCTCTGCACTCAGGAATTACTCAGGAATTACTCTTGGCGGTGCTCTGAGGACTATATAAGATGCCAGGCATCAAATCTGGGTTGGCCGCATGCAAGACCCACTGTTTCATCACTCCAGCCTCCTGTTAATCTACTTATCATGATCACGACCATCCTGTTGTTCGTCAATTGCCTCGAGCAGGCCCCAGTAACGTCTCCTTCATCATAGCCCTGAAATAATTTAAAAAGTGCCATATTCAAGGCTCTTTCAGGGTTAGGAGAATGAGACCCATCATTGTTACTGGTATTTGGCATATTGGGTATGCCACTGGGAGTTTGCCAGACTCTGCCGTGTGAGCAGGTTGCAATCGGTAGCCTGCCAGTTTGTCCAAAGTAAGAATGAGATAATAAGATGTCGCGTGGCTGCAAATGCACTGTTCTCTTCCGGGAGCTGGGTTTTACAGTCTCTGGGTCTTGGCCGTTGATGGGATTACACGGCGCCAGGGGGCCAGTTGGTGGGTGTGACCCCTGCCTACTGGAATATGGAGGACCTGGGTGGAGGATTCTCAGCCCCAATCCGAGCAGGCTTGGAGATCTCAGCCCTGGGACCCACATGCCTTTGTTCCTCTGCCTTTGTACCTTCATGCATGTGGAGAGTGGTCTCAGCATGGTGGTGGCTGGTTCTGGAGGTCTTCGGCTGCCGGAGCCCTGGTCGGGGAGGGAGGGAAACTCAACCCGGTCCCCTCCAAGGGGCCCCAGCGAGGACAGCCAGGCGCGGGGGCAGGAGACTCTGCTTATAAGTTGCTCTAATTCATTTTCAAAGCACATTTTCTTGTTAATACACATATTTAGGAAAAGACCTGTTTTCCAAAGGGAAGCAGTCATGGAAAGTGTATTTTTCTGCTGCCTTTGCAGAACTTCTATGGGCAGCTGCACGCTGAATTTGTTTCTGTGCTGTGAAGCCAAGCTATTCCTCAAGTTCCAGGTCCTGTATGCAAGGCCAGGATTCTATTCACTGTACTCTCACTACTCTGAAGGGGGTTGAGGGAGAAGGAAGTGAGATAGAAGTAGTTCTAACTACATCGTAAAGATGCATGGGAGAAATAAGATGAGACACTGAAAGACTTTTTGAAGACCAGGTAAAGGAAACGTCATGGGCAATAGATAATGTGGACCTAAGACTGATCCAGACAGCATATGGATATGTGTTAATAAAAAAGGAGTTAGTGGTGCTGCTTGCTGCATCTCCAACATCAGGCGTGCCCAGATTCAGTCACTAGCTCACTAGGGACTGTGCAACATTTGTGCTTATGCACGTTTCAGTAGTGGGCACCAGAAGTTGCCTTGATGCCAAGGTCACACTTCTTGGTCATGGTGCTTCCACATCTTTTTTAGTTGTGATGCTTTTATCCCCCAGTGCTTGCACACACTTAACTGTGGTGTGGTCAGCTCTGTGAGGCCAGGTGGAATTGAACTCATAGCCTTGTGTTGACAAGATCCGTGCTCTAAGTCACTGAGCTCTCCACTGGAGAGCTCTCCTAAATTGTAACTGCTTCGAATGATGTGTACCGTATTGGCATATGGATTCTAAGTTGGTGCTAGATAGCAAGTGAATAAGGACAAATTTTCAGAGTAATTTTATTTATTAGACTTAGATTTAGAGAAAGTGAATGTCTCTCAAGCCATTCTCAAAGAGATGAGCTGTTTGGTGTTCTTTCTGGATTGTATTTTCTACAGTTGATTGTAGCCAAAAACCAAGAAATGGTTCAGATTTCATTTTCTATTTAATTATATATAATTTCTACTGGAGGAATTTTTAGTAGTTGCTGGGGAAACTGGGTATTGCTTGACCTACCGATGTGGTCCCAATGGTATTGCTAAAGGATGGGCAGGTGTTTTGCTAAGGGCCTAGCCCAGATTACACATGTGTTTTCTCACTTGATCTCTTTTTTTGCCTTGTGTATAAGTTTGTAAAACTCAAAAATAATCTCTGGGGCCAGCGAGATAGTACAGTGAGTAAAGAGCTTGCCTTGCATGCAGCTGACCCTGGCTTGATCCCTGGCTAATCACTGCCAGAAGGGAATCCTGAGCACAGAGCCAGCATTAAGTCCTGGGAACAGCCACGTGTGATCCAAAAACCATAAAAATAAGATTTTAAAAACTCTTTAGTAACTTGTTCTTTCCCCCCTTCATTATTGTGAACACTTTTTAAAATTACTGATAGCCTGCTGTTTAGCTATCCCATAATTTAAAGGACTTAATTTGAACTAACTGTTCATGACAAGTAATTTGCAGTTCTCATTATTTTTAAAAAGCTATATGTAAATAAACCTAAAAACTAAACTAGGTGTCAGAGAGATAGTACAGGGGTTAAGGCATTTGCTTTGCATACTGCTAACCCTGGTTTGGTTCGAGCACTGCATATAACCCTCTGAATGAGCACTGCTAGGAGTGATTCCTGAGCACTGCTGGATATAGACCAAGCACCCTCTTTCTACTCTCTTCCCCCGAAAAATAAAAACAAAAGCTAGAAATCAAGTATTAGAAAATATAATATGGGGTGAAAATGCATGAACAATATAAAAATTTTAATAATCACCTGAAGTTTACCAACTTATGCTCTTTCCCCCTGTGTGTTCTTCATACATGCCAACACATGTATTTATCAGCCTTACACGTATTTATCAGTCTTTTAAGCACTACTTGGCCTTTTTGCTTTCTCTTTTATTGTGGTGGGAATTGAACCCACAGTCTCACATGCAAGGCATGTACTATACCACTTAGACACTGCCCAGTCCTAAATATATTTTGTCTTACAGGTGAAACACATCTTGTTATAGGTAAAGGTAAGGTAAAGGCCCTCCCGTTGATCGTCGATTTGCTCGAGCGGGCCCAGTAACGTCTCCAATGGAGACTTTGTTGTTACTGTGTCTGGCATATCGAATACTCTTGGTAGCTTGCTGGGCTCTCCGAGAGGGGCGGAGGAATCGAACTCGGGTCGGCCATGTTGGCCGCCTGTAAGGCGAACGCCCTACCCGCTGTGCTATCGAATTTGAGCTCTTATACACATTTGTGAATTGCTTATTCTTTTATTTGGTAAAAGGAAAGTAAACTAGTACTAACCAAATATATTTCCCTTTGTTTAGGAGAAATGGTATTAAAAGGAAGATTTAAAAAAATTGAACATCAACATTAGGTGCTTTTTGGGAGTTTATTTTTAGTTTTTAGGCTGTACCCAGCAGTGCTCAGGCCTTACTCATGGCTCTACACTCAGAGGTCACTCCTGGTGGGATTTGGGGGACCATATGGAATGCTGGGGATCCAAACTAGGTCAGTTGTTTGCAAGGGAATCACTCTACCCACTGAACTATTGCTCCAGCCCTGGCATTTTTTCGTTGTGGATAATTTTCATAAAACAAAATGTGGTGAATAAGATTTTTACTAAATAGTCAACTCTGTATATGTTCTCATCATTTGCTGCCTTGTCCATCATAATTCAGCTTTAGAGTCCCACTGTGTCCCATGTAAGTCTTTTTCTCCATTAGATAAATAGCATGTCCTAAATACTACTAGTCTTTTTTTTTTCCTGGTATGAGTACTTCTTTTTGGGCTGGAGCAATAGCACAGTGGGTAGGGCGTTTGCCTTGCACATGGCCGACCTGGGTTTGATTCCTCCGCCCATCTCAGAGAGTCCAGCAAGCTACTGAGAGTATCTCAAAGCCTGGCAAGCTCTGCGTGGCATAACCAATATGCCAAAAACAGTAACAACAAGTCTCACAATTTGTTGTGAGATGTTACTGGTGCCCGCTCAAGCAAATCGATGAACAACAGGAGGACAGTGCTACAGTGCTATGTGTATGTCTTTTTAAAAAGGGAATTTAATCTGACAATACCCTGATGTTGTTCTGGGATATCTAATACAGTTACTTACTCTTTCCAGGGTGTTCCTGAAAAGAAAGTCCTTCCAATCACAGTTCCCAGGTCACCAGCCTTTGCATTAAAGAACAAAATTCGAATGCCCACTAAAGAAGTTGAAGTGAGTCCATAGTAGAAATTCTTATCTGTTAATCACTCTCTGAACATAGTTTTTCTTTAATGGGATCCAAAGGCAATCGTGTGTGGAGTTGTCTTCAGCCGAAGTATGAATGTTTGATCATTGTTTTTGCTCTTCCAAGAACAGAGTAGCTGATAAGAGTATCAGTCTTCTGGCTTTTGGTGGTAACTGGTCATGACTTATTGCAGACTTGTTATTACTGAATTGAAAATGTGCCTGTCTTTATTACTTGAGTCAAAAAGTTGTCAAGCCCTTTCCTCTTTTTTTTTTCTTCTGAGTTACATCCCTGCTCAGTGAGGGGATTTCAAATTCTCAGTAGGCAGTTAGATTCACCTTGACCTAGGTCCTTTAACCCAAGGGTTGCAAAGTTAATGGTGTGATAGTCATGAAAGTTGAATACATAAACTGTCACTGATCAGGCCAGCTTCTTGTTACATCTCTCATTTTATCTATAAATACCCAAAGTTTGGGTGATTTTATATAAAATCTCAAGCCTAAACCTTTTCAGAGGTTCATTTGAAACTGAATGCATGGTACTCTCATGTTACCAGTTACCCAAACAACTTGATCCTATTTTACTGGATTTAGCAACTCTGTTTCCCAGTCACATGTTTTCCCATAGTCAGAGGCCAGGTCAAACAAGAGGCTAAGATATAAGTTTGGGTATTACCCTTTTATGCCTATCATTTTATTCACACTGATTCTTACAACCTTCTTGTTAAAAACTTTAGCACCGGGCCGGAGCAATAGTACAGCGGGGAGGGTATTTGCCTTGAAGTGGCAACCTGGGTTCGATCTCCGGCATCCCATGTGGTTCCCTGAGTAATGCCAGAAGTAATTCCTGAGTGCAGAGCCGGGAGTAACACCTCAGTGTGACCCAAGCAGCCAAAAGAACAAAACCAAAAATGAAAAAACTCCCCAAACCTCAGCTCCTTTTAGAGTTATTATGGGGACCGAGAGTATAACGTGGTTATGGTATTTATTTTACATGCCACTGACCCTGGTCTGGTCCCCGAAACACAGAGCTGGGAGTATTTCTGAGCACCTCCAGTTTGGTTCAGACCCCTACCCTCACAAACAGAAAGCAAAACCTGGAGTAATTGTCATCCTTTATCATTCTTTTTGGTCTCTTCCTTTGATTCAGTAGATGGCTTAGATTTTATCCCTTTTGGTAGAAAAGAAAGTTAAATTCCTAAGACTTTGATTGACTTCTCTCATATAATGTCTTTTAAATTTGGGGGATGGGGTTGCACCAGAGTAAACAGTGCTCACTCCTGGCTCTGTGCTCAAGAGATCATTTCATGTGGGCTTGGAGAAGCATATATAGTCCCAGAGATTGAACCCAGTTGCAAGGCAAATGTCCTACCTTTTGTCGCTCCAGCCTGTGTGTCTTTTTAAAAATAATAATTTTTGTTTTGGCTTTTGGGACTGCATCCTGCAGTTCCCTGAAGCTACTCCTGGCTCAATGCCCCAAGGGTCACTACTAGTGTTGTTTGGGGGACATGGAACCCCAGCCTCTAACATGAAAGGAATGTGCTCCTGCCCTTTGGGTTATCTCCCAGACCTCATTTAACTACTTTTGACTTGATATTCTGAGGAGGTGAGAGAAAAAAGGGATTTCCTTTTGTTATAGGGCTATACTGTGGTTCCAGGACCAATAGCATCACATCAACAGTGCTGGGGATATGGATCAGGGCCTTGTTTTGGGAATTGAACTCAGGGTCTTACATAAACAAGGCCCTGATCCAGATCCCCAGCCCAGGGATGTTTGTTTTAAAGCACAATTTTTCTCTTAGGAAGAAGAGCTTCTTAAGAACGTCTTAGCTCTTCCTAAAAGAGGAAGAAGAGTAACAAGAGCTCAAACTGTGCCTCATTCTGGGGTGCCTTTTAAGCCCCAAATTCCAAAGGCAAGAACGGTGAAAATGTGCCCTTTCTCTTTTGATTCTCGGGACAAGGAACGTCAGTTACAGAAAGAGAAGAAAATTAAAGAACTGCAAAAAGGGAAGGAGGTAGGTGTTTTCATATCTACCAGTAGCCAAATGCTGCTTTTTGATTTCTCAAAGATAATCTTTTACGTGAAATTAGCCCCTACATTGATTCCTTTGGTAACCTTACAAAGTATAAGCAGGGTTCTTCATTTTAATAATTGCTCCAGGCATGAAGAGGTTAAGTGACTTGCTCATAACAGTGCTGCCAGTTATTGGCAATATTGAGAGGAGAAAATATTTTTCCTTGAGTGCATTACTCTTCTAGAACATGCTGCTTTGAAAACTAACCGATCCTATTTTTTAGTCTTTCAAATATCTGGATTATCTGCTGATTTATTTTCAGAGAGGCCTTAATTTAAGGGTATTTTTTTTCCATTTTAGATGCCCAAGTTCAAGGCACTTCCTGTGCCTCGTTTTGACACTGTTAACCTACCAAAGAAGAAGGTGAAGAACTTGACCCAGATTGAGCCCTTCTCCCTGAAGACAGACAAAAGAGGTGCTCTGAAGGCACAAACTTTGAAACATCAGGTAGGAGTTGAAGAGAATAGTTAAAAAATTGTTGATTTGTTAACACTAGGTAGTCCCACTCCACTGAAATTTGCCTGGGAGTTAACACACTACATAATGTCAGGAGTTCTTATTAAAAATTGAGTCAGCAGTTTTTATCTGTAAATATTTTAGACTTTGTAGGTGACTTTTGGTCTCTGTCACATATTTCTCTGTGTGTGTGACCTTTTTAAGAAATTAAAAATCAAAGAAGAAAAAGAGAAGACTTTTTTTAATAGGGGATAATTTAAAAAAGTCATTCTTAGCTCAAGGAATGTGCATAAAGGCTATAATTTGGATTTTATCTATCTGCTGAAGTTTGCTGATTCTTGCTTATGTAATCATCTGTGGAACATGAGAACTGACTTCATCATAGTTTAAGATCTCACCTGTTTGGTTTATTTGAGATCAAGTAGAAGCAGTAATAAGAGAATAGATTCTCATGCAGGATTCTCAATGTGGAACTACTGTGCTGTTGATATAGTATGCTATTTATATAGCTGCCAGGTAATTAAAGACAATGGGATGGTTATTGTTGACTAGTTCAATTGGAATCTAATTCTGCCCCATCTAGAAAGAAGAATCCCCTGAATCTTGGAGATTGGAGCTAATCTTTGTAGAGTCACCCTAAGGGATTGGGGAGATGGCACAAAGGGCTGGAGCACACGCTCTTCATATAGGAGCCTGGATTTGATCCCCGGCTTCGCATGGTCTGTCCCCACTGCTGAAGCCCAAGAGATCTTATTGTCTCTGCATCAACATAGGCTCATTCCCCCTTTTTATACAGAATAAGTCTTAATATCTTCTAGTTCTCAGAGCATTTAGATTTTGTCAGTCTGATGTCCTCCTAGCGGAGGTTTCTAGCTAAAGTTGAAATCAAATCATCTGCAGATCTAAAGAAAATTTAGATTAAATGATCTTTATTGATAAGTATTGCAAAAACATTACTTGAGTCGTTGAGGTGGTAGCCGAGGAAATTCTGTAGTGGTTTATCTGTTGATCTTTCTTTCCAATAGCTGGAAGAACTGAAACAGCAGAAAGAAGCAACTTGCTTTAAGGCTCGGCCAAACAACATCACTTCCCAGGAGCCCTTTGTTCCCAAGAAAGAGAAAAAAAACCTTTCTGGTATTATAATATATACTTTTAGGAGATTATTACAGAATTGTCAGACTTCCCAGGGCTGTGCCTAGGGTTCAGTTCTGTTAAACGGAAACATTTGCCTTTAGAGGAGAGGATCTAATTTTTTTTTCCTCCTTGGTACAATTCTTTTGCTTTTCTTGGACTCAGTAGTGACACTGAAATCTAGATTTTATTGGTGCCAAATTCATAGAATAAGAACCTAGGCATAAACATCTGGCATTTCAATAAGTTAAAAGTTTTCCTGCCCAATCCTCCCAGGATGGGAGAAGCATGCTGAAAATAGACTATAGACCAAACATGATTGTCACCCATTGCCTCTTTTGCAAACCACAACACCCAACAAGAGAGAGAGAGAACAAAAGGGAATGCCCTGCCACAGAGTCAGGGGAGGATGGGGGGTGGGAGGGATACTGGGATCCGTGGTGGTGGGAAATAGGCACTGGTGGAGGGATGGGTACTCGATCATGGTATAATTGAAACCCAAGCACAAAAATTTGTAAGTCCATAACTGTACCTCATGATGTCTCACTAATAAAAAAAAAAAGTTTTCCTGCCCAAAGAATAGCACCTAAATGGGGGATGGGGTGAGGTGGGTGGGGGCAGGACTTGTTTCTGAAGTTTATCTAGAAGCAAACTTCAGATACAGTACATTTCTATACCAGATAAAGGTATCAGAAAATTGGGATTCATCTCCTACATCTGTTTAAAATTAGCCTGGTAATTCTGAGCAAGCTGTTTAAGCTGTGAGAAGTCTTGCTTTTTTCCTAACTAGATCTTCCTAGCTATTAAACGTCTAGGCGTTTTTATGTGTGATTTATGCTGTCTCTCACTGGGACTCTTTAGTTGCTCAGATTCTCTGTTGCTTGCTATGCATGTCTGTGTTACTTGCTACCTCCACTAATGCATGGATTATACACATCCTGTTTGTGCATCAATGTTTTCCTCTCTTGTACTTAGAGGGCTTTTCTGGTTCTCTAGTTCAGGAACCATTTCAGCTGGCCACAGAGAGGCGAGCTAAGGAGTGGCAGAAACTGAAGAAGAAAGTGGCGGAGGACAAAGCCAAAAAAGGCCAGCCGTTGGAGGAGGCCAGACAACAGAAGGAAGAGCTGGCTAGGATCCGGAAAGCACTGGTAACCGGGCACCCAAGCACTAACTAACCCAAGAGATCTTCTGTTGTATTTTCTCTATTCATGCCTCTTTCCAGAGAAGATGTGTCCTATCAAGGCACATCAAAGTCCAGTGTATGGGGGGGGGGGGGGGGGGGAGTCACAAATTTATGGTGTTCTCTTCAATAAACCAAAAATGGTGACAATTGAGTCATAAATAAGGCTAAAGATGTATATACATTGTACTCATTGTACCTGCTACTTATGTCATGATTTTAGCCCTTTTTAGAAACCAAACCAAAGTTAGAAAATCAAAAATTTTTATCACGAATCACAACCATACTGTTATTCGTCGATTGCCTTGAGCAGGCCCCAGTAACGTCTCCTTCATCCTAGCCCTGAGATTATATTCAAGGCTCTTTAGGAGAATGAGACCCATCATTGTTACTGGTATTTGGCATACTGGGTACGCCACCGGGAGTTTGCCAGACTCTGCTGTGTGGGCAGGCTACATTCGGTAGCCTGCCAGTTTCTCCAAAGTAAGAATGAGATAATAAGATGTCATAATAAGATGTCGCGCAACCGCAAATGCTGGTTTTTATAGTCTCTGGGTCTTGGCCGTTGATGGGATTACACAGCGCCAGGGGGCCAGTTGGTGGGTGTGACCCCCGCCTACTGGAATTTGCAGGATCTGGGTGGAGGATGCCCGGCCCCGATCCGAGTTGGCTTGGAGATCTCGGCCCCGGAACCCGCGTGGCTTTGTCCCTCTGCCAGTACCTTCACATGTGCGGAGAGTGGTCTCAGCATGGTGGTGGCTGGTCCTGGAGGTCTTCGGCTGCCGGAGCCCTGGTCGGGGTGGAGAGGAAAGCTCAACCCGCTCCCCTCCAAGGGGCCCCGGCGAGGGCAGCCAGGCGCGGGGGCAGGAGACTGCACTGTTCTCTTCCGGGAGCTGGTTTTTATAGTCTCTGCGTCTTGGCCAGAGACTATAAAAAGTTTTTTATAAAGCTTAAAAATTTTTATAAGATATAAAAAAGTTGTGGGGCAGGAGCAACAGTATAGCAGGTGCAGGTGCAGGACTTGCTTTGCACTCGGCAGACCGGGTTTGATCTCCAGCATCTCAGGAGTGGGCTGGAGCGATAGCACAGCTGGTAGGGCGTTTGCCTTGCACGCGGCCGACCTGGCCAACCCCCGTTCGATTCCTCCGCCCCTATCCGAGAGCCCGGCAAGCTACCGAGAGTATCTCGCCTGCACAGCAAAGCCTGGCAAGCTACCGGTGATGTATTCTATATGCCAAACACAGTAACAAAGAGTCTCACAATGGAGACCTTACTGGGCCCGCTCGAGCAAATTGATGCACAACGGGAGGACAGTGCTACAGTGCAGTGCATCTCAGGAATGATTCCTGAGCACAGAGATCAGAGGGGTGAGCTCAGAGCACTGCTTGGTGTGCCCATAAGCAAATTTTTTTAAAGTTTAAAAATATATTATCTTTTATTGGGTTCATATTGAATTTCTCCGAGGTGTCTTCCTCTGGAGGATATTATGTGATATAACCTTGCAAAGTGATGCATTCCTTGGATCCCTTTCAATTTAGCTTTTATTATTTCCTGTGGGAGTTAAGAATCAATGCATTTGGGGCTGGAGCGATAGCACAGCGGGTAGGGCATTTGCCTTGCATGCAGCCAACATGGCCAACCCAGGTTCGATTCCCAGCATCCCATAGGGTCCCCCCGAGCACCGCCAGGAGTAATTCCTGAGTGCATGAGCCAGGAGTAACCCCTGAGCATCGCCAGGTGTGACCCAAAAAGCGAAAAAAAAAAAATCAATGCATTAGAACTGGAGGTAGGGCATTTATCTTGCATGTGGTCAACCTGGATTTGATCCCAGGCACCTTCAGGAGTAATTGTGAGTGCAGAGCTAAAAGTAGTCCCTGGGCCTCATTGGGTGTGACCCAAAAAGCCAAAAAAAAAAAAAGGTGTTTTACAATTAGTCAAGTATACAGAGGTAGTAAAGGACATGAGAATTTGTAACTTTATTTTTTTAATTTATAGAGCATATCAGTCAAGGTAATTGTACATGCTAATGCATGTTTAATAATTTAGATATTATTCAAAAGGAAGCTTAATTCTTTTTTTTCTTCCCTTTGTTTTTGGCCTTTTGGTGTTCAGGGATTACTCCTGGTGGTGCTCAGGGAACTATATGGGATACTGGGATCTAACACAGATATGCCATGTGTAAGGCAAACCCCTAACTGTTGTACTATTGCTTTAGCCCCAGGAAGCTTAATTTTTTGTTGTTGTTTTTTCTTTTAGGTCACACCCGGTGATGCATAAGGATTACCCCTGGCTCTGCACTCAGGAATTACTCCCAGCTGTGCTCGGGAGACCATATGGGATGCTGGGAATCGAACCCGGGTTGGCCGCATGCAAGGCAAACGACCTACACTCTGTGCTATCACTCCAGCCCCAGGAAGCTTAATTTTTAATAATGATTTTTTTCATTAGTAAAAAGGGTGCAAACTGTATTAGTGCATTAATGAGGGGGAAAAAGACAGCTTTAAATAAAACTTCATATGATTATTAAAAGAATGACTTTGGAAATATATAAGTACTTGAGAGTTAGTGTAAAAGTTTTAGACTCACTACTGATACATGTGTTGGCAGGAGTGTTGGTGGCTCTAGGTACAAACTGTTCAAGGGAAAAATTCTATTTACCATCTGCTATTTGGATGAGGGGGAAAAAGTATGACCCCCCTACTTCGGATAATCTTTACAAAAGTAGATGTTTTTCCAAACTGCTGCACCTCACAGTTTAAGAAGCCAGGCTCTAGATCATATTTTTTAACTGCTGGTTGAAAATAGTGTGAAAATTTGAAAGCCACTTATCTGGTTCAGACTAGTGCAATGGTTTTCAACCACCAGTGGTAGGTAGAAAAGGTTGAAAATCACTACTCTGGGGGCCAGAATGAAAGCACAGCAGGTAGGACCATTTGCCTTACACACAGCCAACCCAGGTTCCATCTCCGGCATCCTCTATGGTCCCCGAGTGCCGCCAGGTGTAATTCCTGAGTGCAGAGCCAGGAGTAACCCCTGAACATCACTGAGTGTGACCCAACACCCTCCCACTACGCCCTGCCTCTCCCCCCCAAAAAAACAATATCACTACTCTAGGTGAGTGGGTGGTGACTTTTATTTTTGTACTCTGCAGGTACACAAAGCTAATCCAATACGCAAGTACTGGGGTGTGAAGATAAAGTCAAGTGGCCAGCTTCTGACTATGCCACTGTCTCCCAAGTTCTCTACTCGATTCCAGTGCTAAGCCATCTAGAAGCAGGAGCTGCTCTTCACATCCGATCTGGCGCTTTCTTCCGACGTTACCCGGTGTGAAAAGCTCATTTCTGCAAACTTACCTGCATAACCAGTGGGGCATTACTGACAACTCTGGACTCCAGTTTTGGAGAATTGTTTGTTTACATTATTGAGGCAAATAAGACTCAGCTTCATTTATTTTGGTCACGATTCACATCGTTATTTGCTTTGAACCATCAGTTGACCTTTATTATTACTGTTTTTTTTCTCTTTTTTTGCCATACCAGGTGAGTCGCTGAGGGCAACTCCCAGCTCTGTGCTCAGGGACCGTTGCATGTTTTCAAACTGATGAACTATCTCCTGGGTCCTTTGTATCAATAGTATGATTTCTATTTCTCCTTACCCTGTCCCCTTTTTTATTTTAATCAGAAAATAAACTTAAATTGGAAGATAGAACTTAAGTCATGACTTGGAGAGGTCTAATTAGTCTATCAGATTCCTACCCTCTCTCTGCACAAAGTAAATAGAGTTCAAGAGCATGTCTTCACTGAGTGCTGGAAAATCCTGAGCCACACCAGTGAAGAGGAAGAGGTCATAGACTAATAGTGACCTCTCAGCTATTGGCAGTTTCAGGCAAAGCTCCTGTGATGTCCCATCCTTCCTTGTTGACACTAATAAGAAATGGGATGGTGCAGTATGCATTGTAGGTCCTCCAGTGCTCCAGACTGGAAAAAAATATATTTGTCTCTCTCTCTCTAATCAGGCTATTTTTCTAAATAAATTTTAATACAAACTACCTTGTTTCACTAAAAAAAGTAAAAAATAAAATTTTCTCATTTCTGGGCCGGAGAGGTAGTCCAGTCAATAGAGCATTTGCCTTGCACACGGCCAACCCATGTTCAATTCCCAGCACCACATATGGTCCCCATGAGCCCTCCAAGAAGTGGTCCCTAATCACTGCCAAGAGTGACTTCTGAGCTCAGTGTCAGGAGTAAGTTCTGAGCATCACTGAGTGTGGCCTAACACCATTACCCCCTCCAACAAGAAAAAGACTCAGAGATACTGTTCTGGCATTATTCAAAGACTGAACCAAGGGAAAAGACTTTTAGAGTTCTGCGAAGCAAATAAATCACTGTTCTCTAAACCTCTAGCTGAATAGGCTATTAAAGCAAAATACATTCCTAACTAATAAAACTCAAAACAAACATCATGTATTCTGTTTGCTATTAGACACTTATACTAATGGGTTAAACCTATGCCAGCTGACAAAAGCTGTAGTTACTTACACTCTCATTTTCTTGGAGGGTGGAATTTCATGGATTACAGGAGTAGCACATCTCTTGGCTTTCATTTTTTTTTTTTATGTAGGAGTACTGCTATTCGTCGATTGCCTCGAGCAGGCCCCAGTAACGTCTCTTTCATCCTAGCCCTGAGATTATATTCAAGGCTCTTTAGGAGAATGAGACCCATCATTGTTACTGGTATTTGGCATATTTGGTACACCATGGGGAGTTTGCCAGACTCTGCCCTGTGGGCAGGCTACATTTGATAGCCTGCAAGTTGGTCCAAAGTAGGAATGAGATAATAAGATGTCATAAAAAGATGTCTTGATAAGATGTTGCGCGGCCGCAAATGCGGCCGCGCGGTTCCGGGAGCTGGATTTTATAGTCTCTGAGTCTTGGCCGTTGATGGGATTACACGGCGCCAGGGGGCCAGGTGGTGGGTGTGACCCCCGCCTACTGGAATTTGGAGGATCTGGGTGGAGGATGCTCGACTCCAATCCGAGTAGACTTGGAGATCTCGGCCCCGTAACCCGCGTGGCTTTGTCCCTCTGCCAGTACCTTCATGTGTGCGGAGCGTGGTCTCAGCATGGTGATGGCTGGTCCTGGAGGTTTTCGGCTGCCGGAGCCCTGGTCGGGGCGGGGAGGAAAGCTCAACCCGCTCCCCTCCAAGGGACCCCGGTGAGGAACAGCCAGGCGCAGGGGCAGGAGACTGCACTGGTCTCGTCCAGGAGCTGCTATTTATTCAGCCACTGATTAGGCTGATTGAATTGGGCATGAACTCCACTCCTGGCTTTCATTTTAACATGTTGCTTTTCTTTCTGCTCCAAAGCCTTCTGAGCAGAGAGTCTAACAGATCTTCTATGATAGAGGAATTGACAAAATTTATCTGTAACTATGCCGGAAGAGAACAGCACAGAGTCTTCTTCCCCTGCACCTGGCTGTCCTCACCTGGGCCCCTTTGAGGGGGGCGAGTTGAGTTTCCCTCCCCACCCCAAGCAGAGCCCAGGCAGCCAAAGACCTCCGGAACCAGCCACAGCCATGCTAAGACCACTCTCCACACGTTCGGACAAGCCTCATGCATGAAGGAACCAGCAGAGGAACCCAGGCATGCGGGTCCCGGGGCTGAGATTTCCAAGCCTGCTCGGATTGGGACTGGGCCTCTTCCACCTAGACCCCCATCTTCCAGGAGGTAGGCGCTACACCCACCAACTGCCCCCAGCACCAGGTAATCCCATCAACGGCCAAGACTCAGAGACTATAAAACCCAGCTCCCCGAAGTGCACGGCCGCATTTGCAGCCATGCAACATCTTATTATCTAGTTCTTATTCTGGAGCACCTGGCAGGCTACCAAAAGTATCCTGCCCGCACGGCAGAGTCTGGCAAATTCTCCCCATGGTGTACTCAATATGCCAAAAACCAGTAGCAATGATGGGTCTCATTCTCCTGACCCTCAAAGGGCCTTGAATATGGCACTTTCTAAAATCTCAGGGCTAGGATGGAGACATTATTGGTGCCTGCTCGAGCAAATCGATGAACAATAGGATGACCGTGACCATGACCATGATCTGTAACAAATATATCTACCACAAACAGAAAAGTGTTCTGGGAAACATGAAACTACAATTAAATTACATATGTCAAAAACTCTAAAAATGGGTCGAAGATATGTGGCCCCACAAAAAACAAAAAAAAATTAACCATTCTCAAAATTTCGCATTTGTTTATATATTTTAACATCAACTTAGTACTTCAAAATAAAAAGCACTTAAAATATTGAATCAATAGATTAATTAAGGAGAACTTAATTACAGTATTGGGTATCCCAATCCATAAACATGATGTAGTGTCACCAATATTTTTGTTTGGGTTCTCTGTTTTGTTTCTGGGCCACACCTGGCTGTGCTCAGGGCTTCCTCCTGGCTGTGCTCAGGGGTCATTCCTGGTGGTGCTCGGGGGAGTATATGGGGTGCCAGGGATCAAACCTGGACTGGCTGTGTGCAAGCAAATGCCCTACACCCTGTACTATTGCTCTGGCCCCTGTATATACGAGTCTTTTTCCTATAACTATATAATGTGGGGCTGGAGTGATAGCACAGTGGGTAGGGCATTTGCCTTGCTCACAACTGACCTGGGTTTGATTCCCAGCATCCCACAGGGTCCCCCAAGTACCGCCAGGAGTAATTCCTGAGTGCAGGAGCCAGGAGTCACACCCTGTGCAACGTTGGGTGTGACCCAAAAAAGGAAAACAAAAATTATATAATGGACCGCTAGGGTGCTCTTTCTGTTTCAAAAAGTTTCGACACAGGGCTGAAAGATAGTACAGTGATACTGTACAGTGGATATAAAGTACTTGTCTTGTACCTCCTGTCCAAGCCCCTGAACTCAGGAGTAATCACTGAGCACAGATGGATGCAGTCTAATCTCCCTTTCTCAAAAAAAAAGGCACTAAAGGGGACCAGAGATGGTACAGGGGATAAAGCACTCATTAGCCTTGCATGCAACCAACCCTATTTGTATTATGTCACACATCACCTTTGAAGTCACACATCATAGCCAGGGAAGATCCTTGAATGCAGAGCCAGGAGTTGGCAAGTACCGCCAGATATGGGCCAACCAACCCCCCAACCCAATAATAAACATGCCTAGGGGTTAGAGAGGGCTGGAGCAATAGCACAGCCATAGGGCGTTTGTCTTGCCTTGCGTGCAGCCAGCCAGGTTCAATTCCTCCGCCCCTCTCAGAGAGCCCGGCAAGCTACCGAGAGTATCTTGCCCACACGGCAAAGCCTGGCAAGCTACCTGTGACAATATGCCAAACACAGTAACAACAAATCTCAAAAATGGAGATGTTACTGGGCCCGCTCGAGCAAATAGACGAACAACGGGAGGACAGTGGACAGGGGTTAGAGAAAGTTCAATGAGCTGAGCACATGCTTTACAAGCAGGTAAATCTGATCCCCAGAATCCTAGGATCCCTAAGAACTGCTGGGAGCAACTCCAGACCACACAGCCAGGTGGGGCCCAAAAGACAAAATAAGTATGTGAATAAAATATAATAAACTATCATTAAAGAGACTGAGAATACCAAGGGGTTAGCTAGGATGTGAAGCAACTTGAACTCTCATATAGCACTAGTGGGAGTAGAAAGTGGTAGTCACTTTGGAAAATACTCCGGCTGCTCCTTATGAAGACACACTTAACCAGATGGCCCAGTAATTCAATCGGGAGAAACTCTTGCCCTCACAAAGACCTACAGGCATGTATTCATATCAGCTTTAACCATAATGGTCCAAAATGGAAACAACTCAACTATCGATCTACTGGAGAATGAATAATGAGATATAAAAGAACATTATAGACAATTCCAATTTTTAAAACATACAACAGTTAATATTGATCCACGAAGATCTGTTAAAGTAAATGTACAATTGCAAACATGTTAATGGTAGACAAAGGTTTTGAAATCGAATCGATGGGGTGAATCATAGCTCTGAAATAAAACTTACCTTTAATGAGCAGCTTAGTACCCCTTAGTCCTTACATAAAAATTTCAGCTTATTACCTAAAACTCACGTTACAAAGATCAAATAAGAGAACACAGTCTTATACAGCATCTTATACATAATGTGCTCTGTCAAGTAACCATTCTTGAAGTATCATTCAGACTGTCACGCCCACAATTTGCCTCCAGCACCATCTTAGTGCACCAACAGCCCTGGCCCAGAGACT